TGGAGCCTCTTCCCAGAGTGTGCATGCGCAGAGTTGCCAGATGAAGGGAACAGCTGTAGAACAGGGGTCGACTTGGGAGTAAAGCCACAGGTGGACAGTGAATGGCCCCTCCCAGAGGGAATAAAAGAGGAGCAAAAAGGGAGTGGAGTTTGAGGGACACCATTAATTCATTCCTGCAATCTTGCCAAGTATTGCGGCATCTGAAAGGGTTGCCTTGCCCTGCGTTTGGAAACTAGTTATCTGGCAGCTCTCCAAGCGAGATAAGGTGCGTGTGGATAAACATTCCTTTGCTAAAGCCTTGCTGACTGTGAATGAAAGGAATTCACCGTCGTGTAAATAAAAGGGGTTTTGCCAGGACCCAGACGCTGCTTCTCACTTTTGAAGGAAGCCTGGGTCAGAACAGAATTCTTGGATTTTGTTGAGTTCCCAGTTCTTGCTTGCTGAAGAAAAAACTGACCTGTCCCGTTTGCTCCTAGGTTGTTTTCATGATCTGGAATGCCATCAACGACCCTCTTTTCGGGTACCTTCAGGACAACTCTCAGGTGCCCTGCTGCTCCCGCCGTCAGTTTTCGATCCTGTACGGCGCCCCCTTGTACGCTCTGGCTTTCCTCCTCCCGTGGTTCCCTTGGAAACAGTACGGGGAAGACGACTGGCTCTGCGGGCTGCATCTGATTGTGGCCTTGTGCGCCTTTGACGGGCTGCTCACCTTCGTCTTGCTGGCGCAATGCGCGCTTTTCGCCGAAATCTCCACCCGGCACGAGAGTCGCCTCCAGCTGATTAAGTACAACCAGGTGGCCAGCTTGATTGGCTCGACCAGCATCCTGTTCTGCGGTTTGATCTCGGACAACATGGAACGCTTTGCCTACTTCCAGGCCTTCGTGGTGCTTGTAGCGGTCATCGCAACGGCGTGCATGTCCTACACCGGCTTCTACAGCACAACTCAGTACGAGCGACGGGAACTGTTGATGGAAGGGTCTGATCCAGAAAAGGGCCCCTCCCTCTCTTGGTCTTCGGTATTCTCGTTGACCCGCCAGATCTTGACTCAGAAAAACTTCCTGCTTTTTGTCGTCATGAACTTTTTCCAAGTCTTCCACTTAGCCTTCTGCAACAATTTCATGATGATCTTTGCAGATAATCTCATCCCGAACGGAGTCCTTTCCTCCTCGGTCAGAAGTTTTATGTATGGGGCAGGTTTCATTTGTCCTCAGGTAGGCAGGAAGCTGCGAGCTCTTTTTGTCATTTTTTCACACAAAAAATAATAATCGAGTCCGAACATATTTTAAGTCCTCTTTCTTGCTAGGAAAAGTTAGGGAAGATCTTGGGAGAAAAATATGATCCAGGATCCGTGACCCGACAAAAGCGCGCCCGACAACAGCGCGCCGACAAAACCACGTCGATAAAACCGCGACGTTGATAGCGCGCCCACAAAGGCGCGCCCACAAAAGAGCGCTGACAGAAGCGCCATTACGGTTAAGGTAAGGGTTAGGTTCAGGGTTAGGTTAGGGTTATGTTTAGGGTTACCTTTGGGTAAGCGCCAGTGGTGGGTTTCAAAAATTATTCGAACCTACTCTGTGGGTGCGGCCTCCTTTGTGGGAGTGGCTTGCCACCCATGTGACTGGATGGGAGTGGCTTGCCGCCCATGTGACCGGATATGAAGATGCCGACGACACTTGT